AAGTTAAAGAGGGGTTTAGGGGTGAGGGCTAGCTTGATTCCCTCCTCTCTCTCTCTCACGAGAGGGCTCACAAAACTGCTATTTGGGGCTGATGTTACTCCGGACGCCTAATGTTGGCGAAGATTTGACCACATGCGCCCAACTATGTCAGTAGTTGTTTCATTAGATGGATCAATGCTGCAGTCCGCAAGTGGTGCTGACATCTGAACAACTGGAGTGACGTGTCGAGGCCAACTGGTGCGGCTGCATATGCCGATTCAATGAGCAGCAGGCACCAACAGTTGTTGAGTTGCTAGGCGAATGCCAACCCCACACACCTTGTGAACACTGCTCCTTGTCTCTGGTCACTGGCGAACTAGGCGACCGTTTGGCAACTCCAGTGTCCCACCTGAAGGTGTCAGTCCAATTGCAAGTGAGCGAATCACCAACAACGCTGCATCCTACTAAATGCACTCTAGTAGAACTTCTAACACCGCCTTTCGAGTGACACCTCAGACCAAGGGACCACCTCTGCCAAGGCGGCACTAATGATACACCACACAGACCACAATTTTGCGTGCAACTTACTTCCCTGCACCACACTGACCGAGAGTGTTGCTACCACCAGTGGCATGCTGCTCCAAATCACTGACGCTTGACGTTTCTGTGCACGGCGAACAGAGCTCCACTACAATCACAGGCAAAGAATGCGTTAGCAACACCACAACTGCCACAGCACCTGCACAACCAAACACCCTCATGTGACACACCACAGTTTCACCCCACTGGGATGCCCAGTCACTGGCGAGCAAACAAAAGGCTAACTTTAACTCGGATGATAGACTTGCGTGGTGGCGGAGGCTGCTCCTTGCCAGCCAAATGATTGTGCAGTAGACGAGCCGCTCTGCTGTTTGCCGATAGTCGTCCACTCTCCAGCATCCACCTGATCCCATCATTCAGTCCACGACACTGACGCGCCTCCTTCTGTCCCATTTCACCACCAACACCACCACCGTCGCCGCCGCCGCCGCCGCCGCCGCCATCACCACCTCCACCAACGCCATCCTTTTCCACACCAATCCGAAGTGGCGTCCTAGCCACTATCCAACGGCCTCGACGTCCCAACCGATGCCCGTACCCGAATCATGATTTGGTCGATACGCACACGTCGTTCCTCTCGCTCTGCCGCGTTCAATGCTGCGTTTGCTGCCACTGAGACCACCTTCGATTGTGCCCTCCTTACCGACTGCAAATATATTACCACCTTGTCATTCCACTTTGCATATTTCTGTTACCTTACGCAGCCCATCTCTCCTACTTCACTGCCCCCCTACCAACCACTACGCATGCCTGCATTTGGCCAATTCGCCTACTTCCACCACTAACCGTTGGCCCTCATCCCCACAACGCCAAAATGAGTCAGAAGAAACCTCACTCTCCACATCTCATTCTCCCCTCATCCCCCACATCCGGTTTCGGTCAGGTCTACC